CACGGGGACGGGGGGTTCCGGGGTGCCGGGGAAACCCGGGATCCCCGAACCCCGGAGAGTCCCGGAATCTCAGAGTCACGGAGTGACAGAATCACTGAGCCGCAGAACCACCGAGCTTGAAAAAGAGATCATCGAGTCCAAACCTGTGCCCGATGCCCACCTTGTCCCCCAGCCCGGAGCACTGAGGGCCGCGTCCAGTCCTTCCTGGGACACCTCCAGGGATGGGGACTCCACCACCTCCCTGGGCAGCCCCTGCCAATGTCCAATCATTCTTTCTGTAAAGAAATTCCTCCTGATGTCCCACCTGAACCTCCTTTGGTGTAACTTGAGGCCGTTCCCTCTCCTCCTGTCCCTTGTTCCCTGAGAGCAGAGCCCGACCCCCCCCCGGCTCCCCCCTCCTGTCAGGGGGTTGCAGAGCCAGAAGGTCCCCCCTGAGCCTCCTTTTCTCCAGGATGAGCCCCCCCAGCTCCCTCAGCCCCTCCTGCTACTCCAGACCCTTCCCAGCTCCATTCCCATCCCTGGACACGCTCCAGTCCCTCAATGTCCTTCTTTAATTGAGGGACACAAAACTGGACACAGCACTCGAGGTGTGGCCTCACCAGTGCCCAGAAAAGGGGATCAATCACTTCCCTGGTCCTGCTAGCCACACTATTCCTGATACAGAACAGGTGCCATTTGCCTTCTTGGTCACCTGGGCACACACACTGACTTATCTTGTCCTTCTCTAGGACAAGAGGCACAGGGCAGAAAGCGATGCCCAGGAATTTCCACCTGGACATGAGGAAGAACTTTCCTGTGCAGTGACTGAGCACTGAACGGATTGCCCGGAGAGGGTGTGGAATCTCCTCACTGGGGATATTCCAGAGCCATCTGGACACAATCCTGCGCCATGTGCTCTGGGATGACCCTGCTTGAGCAGAGAGGTGTGACCAGATGATCCGCTGTGGTGCCTCCCAACCTGACCCATCCTGGGATTCTGTGAACCTCCCCTGTCTCAGTTTAATGCCATTTCCTCTTGTCCTCACACTGGTCAGCAAAAGAGGAAGATTTAGAAGGTTAAAAGGTGCCCGGTTCTGGGCTCCTCAGGACAAGAGATATGGAGCTCCTGAAGTAAGTCCAGTGAAGGAGGACTGGAGATGATGAGGGTACTGGAGCACCTCGTGTGAGGACAGGCTGAGGGAGCTGGGGCAGTTCAGACTCAAGGAGACTGAGGGGATCTTATCAATGTATAGAAGTGTTTGAAGGGAGGGTGCAAATAAAATGGCATGGAGCTGTGCCAGGAGAGGTTTAGGTTGGATCTCAGGAGAAGGTTCTTCCCCCAGAGGGTGGTTGGCACTGAACAGGCTCCCCAGGGCAGTGGGCACGGCCCCAAGGCTGCCAGAGCTCCAGGAGAGCTTGGACAACGC